ATGATCAAAACCGTTTATCCACCAATCATAATCATCAACGACCGCAAAGTTTGTTTTTCCAAAACATGGGGGGGGGGTTTCGAAAAGAAAATGGGCTCATTGACTAATCCAATTTGTTCCAAAAAAGTAAAGAAAATGTTAGATGAGGGAGATGGGTGTGTTAAAGGTGTGTCCAGAGAGTATAGTCTTAATTGACCAATACTCTCGAGGAAAGCCCATTAAATCCATTACAATTTTCTTTTTCTCTCGTGACTGTTTCCCAAAATTAGGTGTGGTCGAAGGATTGGCGGAGAGGGGGGACAGTTTACTCGAAAAACGTTACGCTAATCTCATCATCGGGTGTCGTCATGAACAGAGGACGTCATCTAATCATCCTATCGTACATCAAGCATTCATGCCTTTCCACCTTCTTCAACGTGTGTGTCGTCGTCATCACTTAACCTCATCAGACAAATATGGGCGCTGGCCCATTAGCACCAGTCTACCAGTACCGCCACACCCAAAAAAAGCCTAAGTTGAGGTCCTAATACGATCAGACAACTCAATTTACGAATGGTAAAGTGTGCGGAAGAAAATGAAAGACAGTGGAGAAAATTTGCGGTTCAGACAAGGTTTTCATCAGCCGCGACAGGTAAAAGAAGGGAGGGGGGCTGAAGAGGAGAATCCGAACGAATTGAAAGAAGGAAGCAATCTGTTCATGAAATCGCAAACCAAGAAACGGACGATTTGATAACAACCACCCAGATTATTGGTTTTGAGTGCGGTTGTGAGAGAGCTAGAAACTTCCTTTTCAGCTCATCATCACATTATTCTTTATACTGTTCTATTTATATCTATAAGGCTATAAGCTGGTTAGGTGCTTCCTTCCTTGCTCATACGAAATCCTTTTGAGTGACACCAAATGCCTTCTCAACTTACTTGATGTCTTTGTAGAACCGAAAAAAAGAAGAATGCAAATACTTTGTGTGATCACTAGCTGGACCGAAATTTTCATAATTTTTCAAGTTGATGACAATGTTTGCGTTTTTTTTTTTATAAAATGGAAAATCAGGTATGACGAAACAAAAGTAAAGAGTCGAGAGGGTGAATGAAGAAGAGAGTCATATGAGAGAGATAGAAAGAGAGAGAGAGAGAGAGAGGGTACTTCTATTGGACCATTGAGGTTCAACGTTCAATTTCATAATTGGCTTATTAAGTTGACAATCTACTCAACATATCGTATTTCGTTGGCTTCTCAGCCTTTTTCTATTTATCTTCTAAGACACGTAAGCATTATTTGTTAAGAAGATGTCTTACTACTGATGAAACTCTAAATGGAACCTCTTTAAACTTTTAAAAAACTTTGTTTGAGTGGGTGTTCGTTCGAGCTTGTTCTTCACACTCATTGGAATGTTAGATATTCTTGTTGCATGACGTCATCTAGTCTACAGATAAGATACGTTCTCAGATTTCTCTAAAGCTCTCACTCATTGTGCAGCAGATGATGTCATTCAAACCATATCTGAACTTTCAGCAAATGAAACTTCTTGTTGTTTCCATTTGAAAACATCTCAATGAGTTCCGATATGTGGGAGTATGTTTACCTCAAGCTATTAACAAACTTGTAGAGATCAAGCCATTACTCATCCCTCTTGTCCCCCCACACCCTTGTATACTCCCTCTCCTTCCTTCCTCATACTCTCTCTCTCTCTTTCAAGGCTCAAGGGACAAAAACCTTTTCTGAATCATACATTTGATGAGAAATGGTGTTGTTTAATTACAAAAACTATCATTTCTCTGAAAATTCCTTAAATTCTGAACAATTGTACCCAAAAAGAAAGCTGACATGCTTTTGGTCAAGAAAACGAGAAATAAGCTGGTCTTCCTCTACTCCCTTCTACGAGAGACTGGTAACAGTTTTCGGTTAATTGTCATTGAACTCCTGTTTCTAGAGTTGTATGTTCAGGTAATAAATAAAACACTTGATTTAATAAACTTTTCAAATCATTTCTATTGAGAGGTTTCATTTTTGAAAAAAAAAAAAACTTCCTCTACCCATATATGGCACACATGTGTGCTGTATACACACATACACATATAATATATAATTATAAAGCATTCATATATATATTTAACATAACAAACATTCTTTTAAAATGTTTATTACAACCTATCAGAGCTGAACTTTATTGTTTTTCTCTTTTTTTGTTTCATAACCATATATGTACTACATATGGTCATTCTCATACATATAAGCTTTCATTAGAGAGCTTCTCTCTTTCTTCTTCTTCTTCTTCTTCTTCTCGTTCTTCTCTCACTTTCTCTTTGCAAACGTTCAAAGCCCTCCGGCAATGTGATTCCTTCTCTCTCTCTCTCTCTCTCACTCTCTGATGGTAGTGTGTGTGGAAAAAATGGTTTATTCTGACATGCCTAGATAGTCATAACTGTCAGCAAAATTTAATCAGGTTTTGTGGTCGTTGTCAATCGACCTCTTTCAACACCACACAAGGAAATATGTATTGATAGCCTTAGGGCAGGATCATCTATATATAGACAAATGCCGATGAAGCATCATCATCATCATACAAGATGTTTCGTTCCGAATACGTCAGGAGGGGGAAGATCGAAAAGATTCCTGATGAACCTATTAGGGGGGACAGGGATTGACAGTTTCTGCAACATTTTCAGAAACCGAATAGTTTGATGACGTTCATTGAACGAACAGATAACTCATAGTCCTCTTCTAGGGACGTCTGATTGTCTAAAACTTTGAATATTTAATGTAATGGAATGTATGGATGAATCACTTCGCCTATGCGAATTCATTGTCTTCCCCAAGCTTATGACCTTTCAATCAGAACAAAGTTGTTTCACCTCTTCTTCAATACACAGATTGTCTACATGGCTGCGAGAGAAGGGAATAACACATACACACACAAGGAGTAGTAGGAAGAGGAAAATTGTTTTATTTCTCAAAATATTTCCACCAAAACGTTTTCTTCGAACATGAACGATCTGACTATATCTTGTCTCTGATGTTTCCGACCTTTTGATTTCTTTTTTTCAAACATTTTTAGAAATTCCGTTGTATTGTTGTTAGCAGAGAGAGAGTGGGTAAGAGGGATCGTATAGTCTATTTATGGAAGCGAACTAGCAAGAAGCTTCATGTGCAGTTTGTAAGAGCAGGATGAAGCCTTCCGAAACAGAATATCGTATGAGAAGAAGCATTTAAACCTATGCGAAGTAGTTGTGAGGTCATCCACCTACTAATAGAAGCCCCTGCATACCCTTATAAGACTATGGATCTCCCCTCTCCATCCATTGTATAGTGTGAATGATAGCACTCATTGTACGAAGGGAAAAGTTTGAAAAAAGATAAAAAAATAAATCTTTTGTTGTTCAGGAACAACAAAAACAACAAAATAAACATTTATTTTGCTTCTGATGTGAGCTGAGCGCTTCATGAAGAAAGCGGCCAGGGACTTATGTTGTATTTGAAACATACACGTACACACACACAACATGTATACTCTCCTACGTGCACATGCATACGATCATACAAACACACACCTACTAAAAATTGAAAGAAACACTCCTTTGTTACAAATTTTAACTTTCAAAATGAATGTTTTGAGTGATGCTGATGCTGATGGCCATTTGACGTTCCGGCTTGAAGAGCAGAACGTTCTTTTAATTTTCAAAAACAATTACTTCGCGATTCCTAAACTATGACAAAATGTGTTCGAATGCAATTCAACTGACGACATCGGAATTTCCGTTTCATCAACAAATGCTTTCTTCACTTCTGAAGAAACGTTGATGACGTAGTCATGATCGCTTCCTTCTGTTTATGGTTAAAGCTCAAAACAACAGCACTTTATAAAAATAGCTTGAAAGCTAATGGAGAACCGTTCCATCACATCTTTAGAGGGACAGTTTATTTTTCAAGTTAAGCTCGTTTCTTATTCACGTTTTATCTTTACAAGGTTCTTTATTTCCTTCTTCTGCGTCAGAGGTGAAAGCACAGAGTACCGAACACGATCTTCAAGTGATCAATTATGGAATCAGTTGAACCATTTCTCTCTTGTTGTCAGGATTGTGCAATAAAGCTCAATGAACGGTTCCATGTACTGTTCTTCGAAGCTTTGGTCGTTCTGAAGTTAAAGAACAAACAGGGAACCATTTCTTCCTTTCCTAATACCGCGAGGGACAGTTCATACAGTTCTTAGTGTGAGATGAGCAGTTTCATTTTCTTATTTTCAATTGTTCTTTGAGTTACAGAAGCTCATAACAACATCATCATTTTTCGATTTCATTTTCATCTGGAGCTGTCGTGCATGAGCTTGCTGAGCGTCGGAAGGTATTTATCATTTACTACCCCAACAGGGTGTGGAACGGTTGTGCAAAAATGCTTTTTTGAGCATTTTCATTCCTCACACTTATCTCACAGTGAGCGGTTGTGACACCTTAATAAGATGAAGTTATCAATGCTGTTCTAGAGGTCGAAGTGAGCGGTTGTGTTTTGCTGCTCAACATATAAGCTTATTACTCCTTGATAATCGTTATGAAGCAACTTGTAAGCATTTTATTATTTTGTTCAGCTTTTATGTATTATCTTGAACGCCTACAAAAGGCGAAGAAGCGAAGAATCTTTTGATAAGATTATATTCTTCATTGAAATATGTGTATTAAAGATAACAAGCGATTGTTTCTGGAAGCTTTGATGGCACAAGCCATGTCTCTCTCTCTCTATCTCTATATGATTTCGAATCAAATGAAGATTTTTTGAAAAAAAAATATTTTTAATAAATAGAAAGCGTATTCACAATGTGATATACGTACACGTAATGATGATTGAGAACATGAAAAATGATTGATTTTGGTTGTGAATATGAAATTATTTCCGTTCGAAATAATCACAATCGATTCCTATGGATGACTAAGAATGCTGGCAGCGGCAGTTTTAATATGGTTCCAGACCAATTAAAGCTTCATTTGATTGATTGAGAAGATGAGCAAAGTTATTCTTGCTCTTCAGCTATGGCAAACAGCTGTGGACTGGGTGGACGTGATAGTGGCCGTCTTTTGGAACTTCGGGAAGATGAGCGATTTCCTCGAATAAGTTGTGGAGCAGTCAAATGACGGAGAACCTGCAATAAAACAAACTTTAGAAAACAAATTGTAAAATAACAAAAAAAATGGGAGTAATGAGAGTAATGAGGAAGAGGGAGAGAAGAATGAGGAGGTGGAGGAGGAGTAGGAAAGGCTTAATGTAGAGGGAAGGACAAGATGGTTTGTTAGTCAGACAAGCATATGATACTGTACTCTCAGTAACAGAAAAAGAGAATAACAGGAAATGATGACCTTTTAAGGTAGTTGGAAAAGTAAAGGAAAAGATCAGCACAAGTAGATACATTTCGATGTTATGATTTGCGTGAGAAAAAAAAATATTTTGAAAAAAGGAGAAAGAACAGTGCGAGATGGAAGAGAGAGAAAGAGAGGTTATGACAGAGATCAAATGAGACTAGAGAACACAGAGAGAGAAGAGAGAGAGAGAGGAGGAGAGCAAAGAAAAAGTTAAGAAAAAACGAACTTTTAATTCGATTTCAGCAAGATTGTGTCGGATAGATGCTCTTCGATTGTCAGATGAAGTGAGATATAAGCTATTGGATTTCTTGAGATCAGAAGTAGACTTCTCATCTCCACAGCATCCCATCACACATAGAATGGTTATCCAAAATAGTTGAACACACCTAGAATGATTGATAAACTCATTTGCAAAGTCAGGTAAAACGTTTTTCAATTAAAACTCCTTCAAGACGACGAGGAGAGATAAAGAAAACTGATTTTTTCTTATTTTCAAGGTAAAAACTTGTAAAAAGAGAAAAATAGTAAAGTAAACTATATCATATCAATAATGGAAAAGTCATTTACCATTCGTGCAATCGATGAAGTACAGCGATGGCTACAACTTGTCTCATCTCCGCCTTGGACATCTGCAATCATTGCAAAATGAAAAATACAATTTGAAGGAAAAAGTAAAAAAAAAATTTCTTTTTCTCCTAATAAAGCCACGTGTCATTTCAAAAATGGCCTGATCAACATAAGAATTTATAGTTTGCTTGGAAAAAAGGACATATGTTGATAAAAACAAAAGAAAGTGAGAGAGAGAGAGAGAGAGAGAGGAAGGAAAGCTTACTTGATGGGTTTTTCGAGTAGACGTCGTCGTCGTATGTTCATTGCTTATAACGATCATGATTGGTTAACTATAAACATATAGTATATAGATAGACAGAAGAGTTACTATACAAATGGTGCACAAGCAACATAATATAAGATAAGAGAAGACGAAAAATAGAAAAACGAGCGAATGACTATGAGCATTCTGAAGTAACAAAATGAAGATTAAATCACATGTGGAGGTGGAGCTTCTTTCAATCTTTTCCACTCTCTCATCCTCTCAAAATATTTTATTTGTGCTCTTTGTAAAGATAATAATGGTGTATGGAATACACGTGAATAGCACAGAACAAAATGCTCGCCTTCTTCTCCTTATATAGGTTCTCAGGGGTCGCCCTGTTCTGGTGGGCGTGACCAACACACACAACTGGGCGGGGCATGGAATAGCAAAAAGACGAGCCGTTATGTCTATATTATTTTCCTTTTTATGAACAAAAATATATAAATAAACAACAAAAAGAGAATGAATGAAGAATGAATGAGTTGGATGATGAGTTAACTATGTGAAACGACCAATCTCAAAATCATATAGTTAAGCTCTTACTTGGATAATCTCAATTGCTGTTGACATTTCAAGATATCATACCGATTATCTTATCGGAAACGAAGTGTATTCAAGTTATTTAAAAGGTTTTTTGTCCATGAAATTACCTTATGAAAATACAAATGACAACTCTCAAACCCATCTCTCTCTATCTTTCTTTCAAAAAGCAAAATGGAAGTGGAGAAGTCTTTCCCCGATTAGATACGGACAAACCCCGGACAGAATGCACCGTGTTGACCAATCTTTTCCTCTCCTACTTTTTGATCAGAGAACGTTCGTTTTTCGACTGTTGGACTCGGCATCCTTCCAGAGAGAGACATAGACAGAGAGACAAAGATAGATAGAGAGGGAGAGTGAGAAAGAGAAGAATGATGCAATGTTCTGATCTGATGCAATATGTTAAAGCCATCGAGTATCTTTCTCAATCATAAACACATGAGGAAGATAATGAAAAAACAACTTCAAATTACGTGAGAAGGTGGAATGATGTAAACTGAATGAATTCCATTCAACATGTTCAAAGGTCACTTAATCAATATTATTATAATGAGAGTAGTTCTGACATTGAAATCTCGTGAACAGACGATAGAAATCTGGTCGAATTAGCCAGTTCTTCTCATAATCACTTTCGTCCATCTAAAGCTTTTCCTTTCATGCAGTTGTGTATTCCTGCAAATCTGTAAAGGAGAGAGGAATAGTTGGGTATAATGGGTATATTGGGGGAAAGAAGAATGGTGGGAGAGGAAAGCTCAAATGCTTCTGTTCAATAGATGTTTTTGAAAGACGAAGAACTGCTTTCGAGAATAAACATTTTCATTGAAATGATAAGATTAAAACATCCCTCGTCTCTCTCTTCACTCTCCCTTGTCTCTCTCCTCTCTCTCTCTCTCTTTCTTTTTTCTCTTTCAATAAGTAATTGTTGATATCTTATGAGATCTTTAGGTTCTCTCTACACAAAATTCTTAGGAACTTCCTTCATCAGTTTTATTCTGCAACGCTTTCTGATAATGATTGAAGAAGAGAGAAAACTTTTATTTCAAAGAAAAAAAAGGAAGATGAAGTGAGAGAATGCAAGAGAGAAAAGGGTATTAGGGTAGGCGAGCAATATGGGGAAGTGATGGGGGGTTTCCCGGCCCCAAATCGAATTCTGATAACGCTTCTTGTTCGAATATAAAAAGTGATAATGAAGGAGAAGTAATGTAATAGTACCTGCTATCATCAAATTATTTTCATAGAAAATTTACCGTTTGTAGATGTAAGAGAGAGAGAGAGAGAAAGAGAGAAGGGTTGGGGTGTGAGAGAGGAAGCAAAAGACCATTTTTGGAGATTTTTTTGTGATTTCAGGGATGATGACGGTCTTCAAACTTGGCATGTCGTCATCAAAACTTCTAATTGTTTACATGGCTTCATGCTATCTCAAAGTGTAATGTTTCAAGCCATAACTCAAAGTTCCTATTTGAGAAAACAAAAACTGTCTTTGACAGCAAGCAATATCATCGTCATCCGGCCATCAGCAGAATGGATTACGTAATTATGATGAAAAAACACGCTTGTCAGTCATTAACCTTTTCCATACTCGATTAGTTTCTCATAATGCTCATGGCCAATGCCCTTAGAAGGAGGATGCGACACTTGTGAACATCCGCCGATGACGTCTCTTCGTCGTCTTCTTCTTCTTCTCTGGTTATTGGACGTTGCACCCAAGCATTTGATGAGGAAGGTGAAAAAGACAAGAATCACAGAAAGAATCTAGAACACAAGACAATCAGAAACAATATTTTGTTGACAAAAATTTAAAAACAGAAATCGAGGTTTGATGTCTTAATCGTAAGTCCCTCTCTGCGCTCTCTCTCTTCTCTTCTCTTCTCTTAGCGAACTTCCTTTTGTGGACTTTGTTGATGTTCATTTGTGTTTTCCAGAGAGATCACACGTCATCAGAGGTCAAGATCATTCTTTGAACCAAAAAAGTAGTTTATAATGTGTATACATAGTTACATATCAATAACTATTATAATTGGATAGATCTATGCATCTGCTGCTGTCTCCTCTACCACAAAGCTTTCTTATAACAAATCGATTGTTCTTTGGATGTTCTATGATTTTCATTAGAAATTCTCCTGTTAACCATTCATTCTCTCATTTCTCTTGTGCCTGAGAACGGAAGAACCCGAAGTGTGATGATAAGGGGACGTAGTAGTAGAAGCAGCAGCAGCAGCAGCAGCCACAGCAGCAGCCACAGCCCCCCCAGCCACAGCCACACAATGAAAGAAACTGTGACTCTTCTAAACATATTCTTTGTCACGCATAAGAATAATCAACAAGTGTTCTATACTATGATAGTTAGAAAGTAATATCGAGTTGATATTCGTATCGAACACAAAATCATTTTTGTTGAGCAATAGCAGTAGCAGTAGAAGTAGTAATGTGTGTGGACGATGTGTCTGCCGGCTCCTACTCACTTTCAACATCGACGACATTGCAAAACAACCGTCGTTCTTCGTTTGCAATGATCTTACGAATAAGAAGGAATTGAAGATCAAAATTTGATGAATTCTGATGTTTCTAACACCAAACTGTAGCCAACACGAGTTGTTTCGACAACTGCCATGATCACAAATCACAGAAGAAGAGGAAGAAGCTGGAGATTCTTAACGTACTTTGTCCTCTCTCCCCGTCTCTCTAACATGGGTGGTCTTGTGACGAAAGCGAACTTCGGACCTTTTGTCTCTAACATATTCAATTCGTTTATTAAAATGACGACAAACGGAAAGAGAGAGACCAACTTGAGATTGTGCCTTGCCACAACCAGAAAACAGAATAAAACCGAATGAAAAGCTATTGAGAGTTATGAAGAAGCATATAAACTATATGAATGACAGTATAGTTAACGGGCATAAAGACGTTTTGTGCGTCTATTTATCCGAAATAAAATGATTGTACTCTGAATGACAATCAACAAACGATGAACCTGTGTTATGCACGTGGACAACATGTGTCTCGCACATGAATAGTCGACAACGTTTGCGGATTGGGACAGGAGGCTGTTTGGAAGAAAAGAATAAAAGAAGAACAGAAGAACAAGAGAGAGAGAGAGAGAGAGAGGAGAGAGGGAGAAAGAGAATTGAGTGAAGCAGTGGAAAACCTATGGATTAAGGGTAGTTTGATATATATACATATCATCTATGATATAGTATATAATTAGTGAAACGCACCATCAAATGCTGTTTTCACTTCTACTTCAGTAGTGAAGAGCGTATAGAGTAAGAGAGAAAGAGAGGAGAGGGGGGGAGGGAGAAGCTGTTTTTGAAGAATGCCCTCAAGGCTTGGACGGTACATATTTGAAGTTGTTGTTTTGGTCAAATATATTATTTCAATAAAACTAATGAAAACTTTTATTTAACTAACTATTATAAAGTTTTTTTGTATTTGTTCTGTTAATGAGAAGCTAATTACATCAGAATCCAGTCTGTGCTACTGATGAGTACATGTGTTGTCGTTTATTTCATTGAACGATAAATAAAAAAACAAAAACATTTGAGACCCACTAGAGGGGTGCAAGGGGGGGGGATTGAATATCGTTCCGATTGTATAAGATCATATGCATTGTATTGTTTAGGCTTGTGATCAAGCTTTGCTATCGCCCGAAGCTAATGACCTTCAGACCTTTAATGACGTCGCGTCGCACACTTTTATTTTTGGACAACTCAAATGGCAGTGATCGGTTGTGCTTTGATTATTCACAATCACCTGACAGAGTGATGTTTCATCCTCAAGAAATGTGATTTGAAAGCTTCTGTCTCCTTGTACAGAAGCAAAGATCTACTCGCATACAGTTGACTACTACACGCTATATTTATACATTAAACATTATATTTATCATTCAAAACTAAAAAGTTTCGTCGACATCCACGTTATAGAGATAAGAGGGAAACGAGGTGTGTGGGTACAAAGCTCGGGTTCAAACATTATGAATTTCGAATTCTCAACAATCTGTTTCATACATGTATAGGTCGTCATTACAGGAACTCATCTGAATTGCAAAGCTGTGAATGAGTATACCAGCTCAATGGGGCCATACTAACTTCATTCAACAACTTCTGCAATTTATTTTCGATCAAAAAAAATTGTTGATAAAGGGGAACAAACCAAATTATTTTCATTTTTTGTTCTTTTGCTGTCGTCTTGCCTTCTTTGTTATTCATGACCTACCCAATGACACATCTGATATGATCATGAGACATTCACATGTTGAAACACCTTCATTCACATGAAAAACACAGTTGATGTTGCAAAAGCGAGATAAAAAGAGAAATAGAGAGAAAGCGAGAGAGAAAGAGAGCGTTGTGGGAGGAATGGAGGGAGAGAGAAAGTGAAAGACGCGTTTATAAACTTAATAATTTATTTTTTCTCATTGTAAAAGTATAATTGTTCACGTGAACTGCAGATTATTTCTTGGAACAGAGAACAAGTCC